ACTTTTTTTAAATTTCAAAAAAATCTATGCTTTCCCCCCCCCCCCCCGACTCTGCCTATTTTTGATATGTGGCTCTTGGCCTTCTAAAATTTATGACATGGGTGACCCACTGGATTGCATTTAAACTAATATGGAAGCACAAGCTTTTGCTGTTCTTATGGTGATGTTATGGCAGATAAAACAGAAGATTTTGTCTGCCATAACATTTGTACAGTCTCATAACCCTAACCTAAGGTGATATCAAACTGGTCTTCTGTCATTCTCATTTCTTGTCCTGTACATGCTTTGTTGTGAGTGCTGAAGAAATGTGTACAAGCGTTCCTTCATAGTTATTAGGCAAACACTTTTTCCAGGTCATTTAGAATTGTCTTGTGAAACAGTAAGAAACTGTCACTGTTGTTCTGAGGGAATGTTTTATGTTTCCTCCTCTCCCCTCCTATTCCTTGAGTTAGAGAGGTCATCAGATCTTTAGCAAAGGATTAGGAGGTCATGAGAAAATATGCTAAAGACCTCCTAATCCTTAGCTAAAGATTTCACAAAGAAAAACTTTTGAAATGTAGAATCCTTAGGAATTTCCAGTTTCCTTTGTGATGCCTTGTTTATTCTTAGGGAAAGTTAGGATATTACTTTTACAAATGAAATGCGATGTAGCATTCATGCTCTTGCCTAAAGCTTTTTTTTTTTTTTTAATTTTCTTGGTTTTATTTCTTATCTCTGCCAAAAATGAACTTCATATTTCAGCAATGAGGTTCTGATTGATCAATTCTCAGCGACAAACAGTAACCCCAAGATATGTTGAAAATACTGTAATAAGACAAAATAAAGAATTTGATTAATTTGCCATTCATTTTTGTAAAAAAATCTGTTTTAATTGATTTAATTAGTAAGAACACCAAATCAGTTAATAAAAACTTTCGTGCAAACATTTGGTGCAGTCTAGATAATTAAGTACAATAGAAATCATTGGTAGATTGCAGATGATTTATTTAAATTTTGATTTCAAATCTTTTCTGCTGATTATGTGAAAAAGCACCATTTTTAAAATAAAGAATCCTTGGGTGTCTCCAAATGCCACATTTTCTATAGCTACAGTGGGGCAAAAAAGTATTTAGTCCGCCACCAATTGTGCAAGTTCTCCCACTTAAAAAGATGAG